ATATATATATATATATATCGAGCGGTACGCTTGTACCATACCATACCGAGCTAAGATCAAAACTCCGGTACGGTACAAAATTGCAATCCTTGCTTTTGAGTCTCCTTATATGGCTACTAGTGTCCCTCCAAGTGACAATCCTACTAAAGGACCTACTCTCTCACAACACAAGGTTGACGTAACATCATTCTTGATAACCTCCTTCTTATGTCTGATACTAACATCACTTTATACTTTCTTATCAAGTGTCATGATCGTCCAGCTTCCGATGCCACTTAAATTACTTTTGAGGAACTTCATGACTTTACACCAGACTTAATGGACCATACCTTACAAATCACTCTCCGAGGTCGAATTCTTTTCACTAGGGGAGAATGATGGGGCATCATCTAGCTTTATAAAGAATTTGAAAAAAGTTTATTCTAGATAAAGAAATCAGCAAAAAGTCATCAATTAGTTAGCCTAGAAACTCTTAAGAGTTTTATGAAAAATTGAAGTCTTTTTAGTCTTTCTAGGTGCTAACCTCAGGACTCTACTTTTATATTAAATGAACTCTTTTATTAAGTGCACGAAGTTGTTTCAAAACTGTTTAGGTCTCATAGAATTCACATTTTGGATTTCTAAAAGACAAACAAATTCCCTAGGAGGGAATCATTGCCTACATTGATTATAGTAAGACTCCTAAACCCCTATAAATAGTAAGGCATGTCAATGGATGAAACACTTCATATTTGAATAAAAAGAATTACATCTTCTCTTCTAGTATCTTACACTACTCTCTAATCTCACACTTTTCTTTCTCTCTTTCCCTCTCTTCCTCCTCCCCTCTTCTCTTCTAGTATCTTATATCACCCATTCCTCCTCTTCTTCTCTTTCTCCTCTTTTCCTCCTCCCCTCTTCTTTCTCTCTCTTTGGCATCGTTTAAAAATCTTAGATACCAAACCAGTACTAGTTGCTGGCCAGACCAGTATGGATCTAGTATGTACTTTATGTATCAACACACGGTATGCTAGCATACCAGTCACATCAAGAAGGATGGAAAAGGAGGAGGAGGAGGAGAAGAGGAGGCAAGGGGCAGAGTAAGAGGATGAGAAAGAAGAGAGGAGAAGAAAAAGAAGAGGAAAAGAAGTATTGGGTGACGAGTAGTGGGCGATACTTGCGCTAAGGATAAAGACTCTCCTAATTCAAGAGAGAGACAAAATAAATACAACCAAATATATGAAAAAAAGGAACCCGTGTTAGCTTACTACCTAGTTCAAACATGTTATCAGGCCTAAACTAGGAGGTAAGTCCGATGCTAGAGGTTACCGAGAGGTGAACCGAACCCAAACCATCCAAATTGGACTAATCTGCATCTTGATTCACTGTTGGATTGACATCCATCTAGTATATAAAGGTTTCAGTGGTTTAGATAGATCATGCTCTTTGGTCTAGGTGATACCAGCTGATATTGACCCGTACCAAATGTCAGTACATCACCTCATACAAGTACCATAATGATCTGGTCATTGGTCTGCATCGGTACTAGAACCAACTTTTAATTCATCAAGCTCAATATTGCTTGGCATATGATTTTTTTTCCAATTTTACTAAATGGTGCTAGTCACTAGATTCCTTGATACCTTGGTTATACATGTCTGATAATTACCAAAATTGACTTCTATCCATTAATCAGGTATCACGATCAATCTCAATCCTAATATCTAGAGTCAACGGTCAACAGAACTTGATCCAAGTCCCTTAAATCTTGGATTAAATGAGGTGATGTGAGCTCCACTTGTTAAGGCTCTCACGAATAATTTTCTTACAGGCAAACAAGATTAAACATGAGATATCATAATTGAACCATTCACATGTAAAAAAATCAATATCAATTACCAACTATTATATAAAGTGAATACAGTGTGTTTTTTTTCTCGGGCAAATAAAAGACCATATGCGAAAGCTTTAATAAAAAATGATCATATATTGTATAGTCTTTAGCTGTCAGCAAAACAGAATTGTACAGTAACTAAGGCTATTGTTTTTTATTTACATGACATAAAGGCAAAAGAGAAAAGACAAACAAAGACTTGTAAGTAAAACTGGAAAATATATTAGCAATCTTGAAATGTGAGAATCTGAATTCCTGGACAAATATACAAAGCTTACATTGGATAATCTAAATGGGCAAAACTTGGGTTTTCCTCTGCGTCCATACTTTAGCAAGTATGCTCCTTTCTTCAGAGCAGTAATAGCCTGTGAGAGATGAAAAAGAAAATCATGTTGTTTGTTCTGCAAGACAAGTTCGACTGTTCTGAAACATAGCCAGATTAGAGCATGTCCACTAGGAAAACAATGAAGTTTAGGCATATTATTATTTAGATAATATTTGTCCACAGAAAAGATAAGAGAATGTCCATTAAGATAAACAGCATAGTTTAGGCATATTACTATGTAGATAATATCTGTGCATAAAAATGGTAAGAGAATATGCCCAATAAGATATTACCATTTGAAGTTTCAAAAAAGTTGTATTTTTCAATTGGATGCTGAGGTCAGTGTCCACTCTCTAATAAAATTGACTCTAGTACCACTGCAAAATGTTTTCTTTGCTTTTTTACTAAAAATTTATTTATTGAAATCCCAGGACAACTTTTCAATTTTTAACTAAAACATTAAGTTGGGAGTTACTAGAATCCATAGTCTGGCTCTAGAAACAGTCCGACAGAGCATCAGCAAACTGAAAGTTTAAATTTGAAACATATATATTTAATATCTCAGACATTTCCTCAGGAAAAAAAAAAACTCAGACATAATATGACACAGAAAACAGAAAATTATCATGAAAATTAGACATATGCTTAAGACATATTTCAATGGAAAACAACTGGCACCAAGCAACAAAAATTATCCAACAAAAAAGCTAAGTACATGTATTTCTTTTTCTGACTTGTTATATTTTTATCTATTAGCTCTCTGTATATATAATTTGCTTAAAATTTAACACTGCATATTTGACTAAAATGTATGGAACAAGAAAAAGGAGGCAGCAAATAGACAAAATAACATAACGGACAAACTTTTGGACTCTTAAAACCATATATACGTATATATGTATATATGTATGTATATATGTATATATATATATATATATATATGTATATATGTATATATATGTATATATGTATATATATGTATATATATATATGTATATATGTATATATATGTATATATATATATATATGTATATATATATATGTATATATATATACATATATATATATATATACATATATATATATATATACATATACATACGTATATATATATATATATATGTATATATATATACGTATATATATATATATATGTATATATATACATATATATATGTATATATATGTGTGTATATATATATA